TTTTATGTTTTATAAAACTATATTGCCTGTTGTTTAATTTCATGCATTCAACAGACTACTGAATATATGCTAAATACCAGGTGTTGTGTTTGCCAAAGTACGGCAATACTTTCCTTCAACAGACTATAAATAAACGTGCAAAGCAAATAGCACAGCAGAGAGTTAAAAAGCTTGGGCCTTGTGGTAAGACAGATCTGGGTGAAATCCAAACTCATATTCTTTCTCTGTGACACTGGACAAATTAATTAATCTCTCCTAATTCTGGTTTCTTCATCTGTAAGTATGTGATAGTACGAAATTTACAGGATTTTAAATATTAAATGATGTAATAATGTAAAGGATAATCCCTGGTACAGCATAAGTTTTAGTGTTAGCTATTATTATTTTCATTAATTACACAATTGAAAAAAATGGTATAACATACCATATTTCATTGATTCTAAGGTACACATTTTAACATTTATGAAAAGGATATGCATTTAAAAATCTGTGGCATCACCCATCCTGTGCCAGTGCTAGGGTTGAGGAAATCACAGGAAGAGGATAAGAGGTGTTCATAGTTTCTGCTGTTTGAGTAACATTTCACATTTAGGACATTTTTCTTTGTTTCTGTGCCTATAAAGGTATTTCCCAACCTAAGAGCCATAAATATTCATGTGCATTTTTTTTCAGGTCATTTTTGGCTCTAGTTTTTATATTTAGCTTATTAATTCATCTAGTATTTATTTGATTATTAATGCCATGTAAAGGGCTAATTTTACTTTAGTTTTTGCCAAAAGTTTTACTAATTAACAGAATCTCATGTATTGAATAATAATGAGGCCTATCTTTAATCACAGCTGTCACTTTTGAAGCCTCATCTACTGGCGCTAGTAATGCACTTTCCTAAGGTGAAATAAAATTGCATAATTTAAATTTCTTATTCTTACCTTCCAAAATTGGCTGGAAGAAATTCAAGAAAGGCGTCATTCAGATAGAGCTGGGTCAAGTTTAGAAGCTGCGTGAAGCCATCAGGGAGTCTAAAAAGGAGTTAAAGTTTTAGTCACTGCATCAATGTTGCTATAGAAACAGAACAAAAATATACATATCTCTGAGGAGAAAAAAATAGAAATGTAATACATTTTTCAACTCTCCTTTGGTATTAAAGTATTGAAAGAATTTATTGAGCATGCTGTTACAGCTTGAAAAATTTGCCCGTTATTAAAATAAATGGCATTTACCCACCTCCATGCTCTTTTCCTATACTGAGATTTATGTCACTGCTAAAGTCAGCGACATCATCTCTTACTGCTGGCCTGACTTTATGCACACCAGCCAAGACATTTTTTATAGAAATCTCAAATTGTATGGCATGTTTTGTAATTTTAAAATTAATGTTTCTTTTTCAATAGAATATTCATATATATGTCAGACAAGATATCTCCTTACTATTTTACTTAATCATCAAAATTTGTCTACAGTTTGTTATGGTGATAATTAAAGCTGCCCAATATGAAAAGAGAAGGAGTATGTTGTCCCCTTAACTGATAATTTCTTTAATGCAAGCTCAACATGTATGTACATTATGATTCAAATTGGTCTAACTCATATTTATTAAAAATGAGCAAGAACATAGAAAAATAATTAAACAGAATCATAAATGCTATAAGAGGCATTAAAAAAAGAGAAAACATCCTTTGGGGGAATTTTAGAAATGAGATGAAATAAATTATTTGAAATACTGAATCGTTTTCACTAAAAAAGATTTAATTCAAGGATTTTCCAGGAGACTTTTTCTTAGAAAGATACTTAATTTTTTTCCTATTAGTAAATTTCTATTTAAACATTTTTAATGCCTTTATCTATAGTCTAGTCCAGATTATGTTCTTTTATAAAATACCTTTAATAGCCTTCAAATTTGCCTCCTCCTCAAGTCACAACCTATCTTCCTCCTTGCATTTATTGCCAAAATTATTTAAAGAGCTGCCTATAGTCATTGTTTTTTACTACTACTCAAACTACAGTTTTCTGGCATCTACCCCAACTCTATTACTGAAAATACACTCAACAAGGCCTCCAATGACCTCTTAAATGCCAGTTCCATTAGACTCATTTCATTTTACATCCCATACTGCCTAGCAACAATTGCCATCATTGATTGTTCTCTCCTTTGCCTCTACTAAGACAGTTTTCCTACTTCTCCTCATCCTGGGATATTGGATCTGAGTTTCATTACATGGCTTCTCTTCCTCTGACCAACCTTTTGTTATAAAATATTTTATATACATAAAAGAATATATTTGTGTACACAATAGAATGAAAAAATAGAATCAATATCTTTGAAACCCTCTGGGTGCCCCTCCCTGACTATATCTTCCTATTTACCCCACAAATTCCTGAATGAGGTTTAATATTCTGCTTTCTAAACAGCTTTGCTATAACTATTTAATCCCCTAAAACATGTGTGGTTTTGCATCTTTTCGAACACTGTATAAATCAGATCATCCTGTGTACATTTTCCTGAGTTTTTAAAAAATTAGCATTAGAATTGAATGGGGAAAAGTTGAAAGCATTCCCCCTAAGAACTGGAACAAGACAAGGGTGCCCACTGTCACCACTTCTGTTCAACATAGTACTGGAAGTGTGAGCCAGAGTAATCAGACAAGAGAAAGAACAGGTATCTAAATCAGGAAAGACGAGGTCAAATTATTGCTTTTTGCTGATGATATGATCTTATATCTAGAAAATCCCAAAGACTCCATCAAGAGACTCCTGGAATTGATAAATAAATTCAGCAAAGTCTCAGTTTACAAAATCAATATACATAAATCACATTTCTGTAAATCGATAACAATCAAGCTGAGAGTCAAATCAAAGACTCAATATCATTCACAATAGCTACAAAGGAAATAAAATACCTATGAATATACTTAACCAAAGAGGTGAAAGATCTTTACAAGGAGAACTAGGGAACATTGAGGAAAGAAATTGTGGATGACACAAACAAATAGAAAAACATACCATGCTCATTAACAACATTGTTAAAATGTCCATGCTACCCAAAGAGATTTACAGATTCAATGTAATCCACATCAAAATACCACCATCATGTTTCATAGATCAAGGAAAAGTAATTCTATGTTTCATTTGGAACCAAAAAAGAGCCCAAATAGCCAAAGCAATCTTAAGCAAAAAGAACAAATCTGGAGGCCTCATATTACCAAACCTCAAACTATACTACAAGACTACAAGGCAACCAAAATAACATGGTATTGGTACAAAAATTGGAGGCATAGACCAATGGCACAGAACAGGGAACACAGGTATAAAACCACCTACTTATAGTCAACTGATCTTTGACAAAGCAGACAACAATGGATACTGGGGAAAAGAAACCCTATTCAATAAATAGTGCTGGGAAAATTAGATAGCCACATGCAGACGAATGAAACAGGACCCCTATCTCTCACCACTCATAAAAATTAATTCAAGATGGATAAAAGACTTAAATGTATGGCATGAAACCACAAAAATTCTAGAAGAAAATATGGAAAAAACTCTTCTAGGTATCAGCCTAGGCACAGAATTTATGACTAAGACCCCAAAGGTAATTACACCAACAATAAAAATAAAGAAATGGGACTTGATTAAATTTAAAACCTTCTGCACAGAAAAGGAAATAATTAACAGAGCAAACAGACAACTTACAGGATGGGAGAAAACATTTGCAAACTATACATTTGATAAAGTGCTAATATCCAGAATCTACAAAGAACTCAAACAAATCAGCAAGAAAAAAAACCAAATAACCCCATCAAAAAGTAGGCAAAAGATATGAACAGAAGCTTTTCAAAAGAAGATAGACAAATGGCCAATAAACATATGAAAAAATGCTCAATGTCACTA